CAAGACCCGCCCAAGCCAAAGAGGCCCGTAAGAGGGTTCCAAGACTGCCCAAGACCCAAAGACGGCCACAAAAGGGGGAACGCGAACTGACAATTCGAGCCTTCCCGTCGAAGAAGCCCACCCCAAAGAGGCCTCCAGACAGCCCGCAAGAAGTCTCAAACCTGCCTCCACATGCCTCCCACGATGGCACCAAGACGACCCAAGAGGGCTCTCAAGAGGGCCCCAGGAGGCAAAGCACATTGATTTCCACGAAGTGTTTGACGGATTTTGGCGTTCTCGCCGTTTCTGTTTCCTACGCTCCAAGACGACCCAAGATGCTCCCATGATCACCCCAAGACGGCCCAAGAGGGCCCAAGACGGCCCAAAAAGGGGTCCAAGAGAGGGAACACGAACCGAAAGTCCGAGCCTTCCGCCCCAAGAGGCGGCCCCCCCGAGGTCCCAAGAGGCGCCCAAGAGGCCGCAAGGGGCTCCTAAGAGGCCCCCAGGCGGCCCTGAAGAGGTCAAAAAGAGGCCCCCAGACTGGCCCCAAGAGGCCTCAAAGCTGTCTCCAACAGGTCACCGAGAGGCCCCCCACGAGATCTCAACGAACATCCAACAATACCCACAACCCAGGCACGGTGGCGGGACTTGCCGTAAGCAACTGGAAACAAAAAACGGTGGGACAATCGCTGAAATAGTTTCCGGACCTTCGGCTTCCGCTTCGCTTCGGCTCCCACTAGCCCGTCGACTGTCCAAGCGCGCGCCCGATGATGGCGGGAAGAACTGATCGAGAAGCAATTTCCTGGCGGGGGGACCGATTTTCTCATCATCCTCTTGCCATCGCTCGGACACCCACAGAGAACTCCGCTCAGAGCTCCACAAGTTCATGCTTCTGCCAGGGACCTCCTCAACGGGGTCGGGGATTGCACAGCATCGCCGATGCACCGTCGATGCATCGGCGATCCTCCGGCCCCCCATCTGCTCCGATCCCATGTGGGCACGGTCGGAAGGCTCGCGCGCAAGATATTGCAGCCACCATGCGCGGCAGCTTGTGCGAGCCGCCAACGCTGAGCGTTCCATTGGAGACGAAGGCGCTTACGCGCGACCTCACGCGGGCAACTTACGCGCGAATGTCAACGCAAACGAACGTTAGTCGTGTTTGTTGTGATGTGCGTCGCTCACTTGAGAGGCCTGCACATGTGCAAACAAATCCTCTTCTTCGCTGGACCCGTAGGCTGCAAACGGCGGGCTCTTGACAGGCTGGTGGCGGCGCGCGCGGAGGAGGGGATGAGAGAGTATATACCCCCCTCCTCCTCCTCCTCCTCTTCCTCCTCCTCCTCCTCTCCCTCCTGTCCTCTCCCTCCTATCCTCTCCCCTTCCTCTCCCATTCCTCCTCCTCCCCCTCCCCCCCCTCCCCTCCTCCTCCTCCTCCTCCTCCTCCTCCTCCTCATCTTTCCTCCTCCTCCTCATCCTCCCTCCTCTCCTCTCCTCCTCCTCCTCCTCCCCCCTCCTCCCAAGGACCCGGCGAGAGCCCCTCAGAGACTGAGAACAGCCAAAAACCTTCTGTCGCGACTCTTGGCACGACGCGAGGGGGTCCAGAATGGGGGCGGCAAGCATGGGTACTATTCGGACGCACAGAGACATACAGTACTATATGTTCTCCTTGGAGGCGCGCGTCCGACCCGAACATGTAGTATAACCATCTTGTAGTGTATCGTTACCCGAGGGGTGTAGCCAGAAAACACCCGCCACGGGACATATACTACAAGATGTCTCGGTGCGCGCGTCTCCTCTGGGGGGGGGGGGGGGGCGACGCACATATAGTAGAAGTGTGTGGGGGTGACGGTTGACGCCGAATGATGCTCAGCAGCAGTGCCTGTGCATGCGGAAGAAGAGTTGCTCTTCTTCGAAACACTTCTGACAACACCTCTTGACATGTTGACAACAACCCTTGCCCACTTGAGCAATACGAGCAATCAATTAGCCTGGCGAAGAACCCAACCCCTAATTTTAACACGGGGCGACTATAAACAGGACCGCTCAATGCACCCTGGATCGTTGCGCCAGAGAATGTCAAACTACTCCCGCCGTCGCCCATTCACGCGCGCACTCTCACGACTCACATTGGAAGCGAGGACGGCCGCGAAACGCGTAAGAGGCGTGCAGAAATGGCACGAAGGCGCCATGCGGACCCTGTCACTGGGGCCTTCGGTGGAGCTCCCTAGGGCCCACGAACCGTGTGAGGGGTTTGCCGAAATGGTCGGGGCGGCCGCATGTGGACCCTGCCACTGGGGCCTTCGGTGGAGCTCCCTAGGGGCCACGAACCGCGTGAGGCGGTGTGCCGAAATGGTCGGGGCGGCCGCATGTGGACCCTGCCACTGGGGCCTTCGGTGGAGCCCCCTAGGGGCCACGAACCGTGTGAGGGGTGTGCCGAAGTGGTCGGGGCGGCCGCATGTGGGCCCTGCCACTGGGGCCTTCGGCGGAGCTCCCTCGGGGCCACGAACCGTGTGAGGGGTATGCCGAAATGGTCGGGGCGGCCGCATGTGGACCCTGCCACTTGGGCCTTCGGTGGAGCTCCCTAAGGGCCCCGAACCGTGTGAGGGGTGTGCCGAAGTGGTCGGGGCGGCCGCATGCGGACCCTGCCACTGGGGCCTTTGGTGGACTTCCCTAGGGGCCACGAACCGTGTGAAGGGTTTGCCGAAATGGTCGGGGCGGCCGCATGTGGACCCTGCCACTTGGGCTTTCGGTGCAGCTCCCTAAGGGCCACGAACCGTGTGAGGGGTGTGCCGAGATGGTCGAGGAGGAGGGTGAGGAGGAAGGATGGAGCGCGGCGCTGCGAACTCAAAACGAGGACCCAACACACAGGACGGTTGGGAAAAAGAGAAGACATGCTGTCGAAATGATCAGATGGGTCCCGGCGGACTGCAGATCCTGCTCCACGTCAAGAAGCACTGCTGTTTGGCATCGTACCGTCACTCCGGAGGGGGCAGTCATCGTCCCCCCCTTGGATCCGCTGGTGGGGATGGGCAAGAGTCGTCGGGAGGGGGGGAGGGGCGGTTGGATTGAATTGATGAACTGCTGCTGAAATCCAAGGCTCTCTGAACCCAATGGCTCCACAAACCGACTTCGGACCCCCGTCCGACGGGACAAACTGCAGGCGGTGCCGCTAGGCCAATTATAGTTTGCTTCAGCTCCAGACCCCCGTCTGGAGATCGGCCTCTATTGGCGGTCGTTGCCCTGCCAGAGCCGATGAAGCCATGGCGAGGGGGAGGGGGAGGAGGAGGAGGGAGGGGGGGGGATGGGCAAGCTCCTTCGGAAGGTCAATCACTCCCCCCCCCCCTTGATAATAACGCCATGCAGAGTCCCACCAGCCCTCGAGGCCGTGAATAGTTTAGCGAATATTCTCTTCCACACCGTTCCCCTTGGCGTACGACGTCGCATCCAGCAACTTAGTCCACTGTATGCTCCTCATACCCATGATCAAGGCAACTCGTCGAAACATCGTTTCTAGATGGGTGTCCCATTGGCACGCCCGCAACGGGTACGGAAAATGTTGTCCAACAACAAATGTTTCCGAACAGCAGATGTTGTCCAACAGCAAATGCTGTCCAACACCAACCGCGGCCGCTGTTTGGCAGGCAACCTTCTGTCTCAACTGGACGCCGTCCGCGGCGACGCCGACAACGAGCCCTGTTCAGAATGAACTGGAAATGCTGTCGATTATCATGCCCGTTCCTTCCATACCCCTTTCGAGCGTCCCAACCTCTCCAGGGGAGCGTTCCAACCAGGACCTCGTTAAGAACCCTGCGGCGGCGACGGGGGCCTCCCAGGAGGCCCAACGGGGGGAACAAACGGGCGAAAGATCGCGGCATGGGCACCTCTTGGGAACCCCCAAACCGGGTGGTGAGATACCAGGTGGAGACCTGGAATCCCCCAAAAAGGTCGCCGCTGGGTTTGGGGACACGGGTCACCACCGGGTTCT